CTATATATATATATATATATATATATATATATAGACACACACACACACACACATATATTACGTAAGAATATACAAGTTCGAGTGAGGCACAGATTTATTTTCAATTTTACATTTTTTTAAAAATGTAATATAAAATTCATTGATATATTTTCCGTGATAGGGTTTGGTAGTATCATGAACAGTCATGGACTGCATCCACCCCTATGAAGCACAGATTAATTTTAAATTTCATATTTTTTAAAAAATGACATATAAAATTTATAGATATATTTTGCGTAAAAATATTGCAATTTTATGTGTACACACCAAAGAAATATCAAAAGAATTGTTTTCATGTGTACATGCGTGTATAAAATATACTTACATGTTTTATATATTGATAATGCAGTGTAGCATAGCGACTTTAATGCATATTCCAATTTATTTTTAATTTCACATTTTTTTTAAAATGAAATATAAAATTTATAGATATATTTTATGTAAGAATATACGAGCCCGTGCGAAGCACGGGAAAATACTAGAAACCTCAATCTATCTCGTGCTACGACTTGAAAAATCTGCTTCAAATCAAGATAAATTCAAGAACATAGGTAAAAGTGAGGAATACACTACAGATAAAGGCTATAACTGGCTGCTAGGAAATACTCCCGAGCAAAGATGGGCTGAATTTGTGTGGAATCATTAGACTATCCCTAAACAATAGTTCAAAAAATAAAGAGTAAATTCCATAACTGGTCCTTTATAACAGGGGAGTTTCCATATTTAGTCCTCTGTTATCAAATATTACCCCGTAGTCCTTTTTCTAAGGGTGCCTTTCCATAAATGGTCTTTTTTGCATCTTCTGCCATGTTGGCCTTTATTTAAAGGCTAAAAGTATAATTTGACATCAACATTATGTCTAGTGACATGTTCTGATATTGGTTAAGCAGATAATACAAAAATAATGACTATGATTGTGGGCTAGGATTCCAACGAAAGACCACATTTGTAGACTATGCTTGTAGTAGAAAGCGACTATAATTCACAAACGATGCAAACAGAACAGCCTTTGGAATTGTGTATGACAAAAAAGATATATTATCATTGTGAAATTAAACTTTTAGATCTTGAATTATCATCAACATAATAGAAGATCAAAAAACGACTATTTATGGAAAGATACCCATAAAAGAAGGACCACTAGGGTAATATTTGATAATAAAGGACTAAATAGGGAAACCCTCCTGTTATAAAAGACCAATTATGGAATTTACTCAAAAAGTACCCATGAATTTTATAAAATGAGTTGGATTATCCACAACAATGTCTTTTTTCTTCATAATTTTCAACGAAACATGTTTACTTTTCTTGATCTACGTTAGAATCAAATTGAAAATTTAAATTTGGGACAGATGAAATATACAATTGCACATTCTAATATCAAACTTTATACTCGGTATTATTTAAAATTTTGAAGAAAATAGTAAATTGAAGTTAAATCTTACTCCGTATAATATTTCAAGTTCCATGCTGACTACAAATACAAAAAAGAAAAAGTAACAAAAATCCATAGCTTCATTTAACAAGTTTAGAGTGTACCAGCAGCAAGTTATGACCAATAGCATCTAATTTTATAGCCTGTAATGCATACTAGCGAATAAAAATAAATGAATGTCAAGGTCCCAGAATTAGAATACCACGACGGCAACCATTTAGAAATTAAATCCAGATGAATGACAAGTTGAGTCCTAAGGTTTTATTTTTTGTTATTTTGTTGTAATCCCATTCTCGAATTTGATGTGCTCTAGAAAATTCATCAATTTGATCCAGCTGAAGTGGGTGCTAAGAAAGTACAATTGAGGATTTATATTCGTTTTGGATGCTATGTTAGGTTTTGAATCCATCATTTTAATTATATCATGCTCCTGGATTTTGAATAGAAAGCTCAAGAACTATTCCATTGACCATTGGACGGACAAAAATGATAAAATATTTAGCTAAAAAGAACTGTGGTGAAAAAATATTGGCAATTTGATATGCATCTTTAAGTGACCTCAGCTTCCTGTGTTTTGGCCTAGTTCTTTTTTTACCTTTGATGGTCATTTGTTTGTATTGAAATTTCATGTGTGGCAGAATGCAATAATATTTTACTCCTGCTTGTAGGTATTTCATCTACTCAGAGATGGGTGTTTTTAATTACATTTGAAATTCAGACTCAATTTAAGTTGGCATTTGTTTTGGCATTCCTTTTCTGTTCTTTGTTTGTGCCAACTTCTTTAATGTTTTCCATTGATTTTTCGGTCTAATTCTTAAAGAAAATGGGATTCTTAAGAATTTGAATGACACAAATGAGTATCTAGATCCATCTTACATGGGAGCATAATAATTTGACAAGAGTTAACAAGTAAATTCAGTGTAACTTGGCTGTAAGCTTGGGAAGTTCAATTCATGTACTATCCCTCTTCTCTTCAGGTGCAATTCCCTCGGATTGAGAGTGGATATTGACGGAAATGATATGATAGAAACGGAAGGTCAGAAACTTCTAATTTGCTTTGATAACTCTGGGATTTAGGCCCCGTTCCGTTCAACTTATTTTTTCTTATTCTTATTAAAATCAGATCAGATCAGACCAGATCAGATCAGATCGAATCAGATCAGATCAGATCAGATCAGATCCAATCAGATCAGATCAGATCAGATTTAATCAGATCAGATCAGATCCAATCAGATCAGATCAGATCCAATCAGATCAGATCAGATCAGATCAGGACTTATTAAAATCAGATCCCATCAAGAATTATTATTATTATTATTATTATTATTGTTATTATTATTATTATTATTATTATTATTATTATTATTATTATTATTATCATTATCATTATCATTATCATCATCATCATCATCATCATCATTATTATTACATTGTCAATCTAATTCTACTTTTAAAATATATTTTTATTGCTACTTGTAATTTGAGTTTCTAAACTTTTGATCTTTTATAAGGATGAGATATTTTAATAAAAATACTATCTCTTCTATATATTGATTATCAAAATTTAATTATTTTTTAATGTATATCTAAATTAAATATTTATTCTAATGTATAATTCTAATTTTACAAAAAAATAATCATAAAATAAAAATATTATTACATTATAATATGAATGATTATTCTAATATATGAATTGACTATTTTTATTTTATTAAAAAATAATCATTAAATAAAAAATGTTGATTATATTATAATATGAATTATCATTAAAATTTTCAAACGTTATTATAAAGTCAAATTAAATTATTGATTTAAAATTTTAAATTAAATCATAATTAATCAGATCAGATCAGATCCAATTAGATCAGATCAGATCAGATCCAATCAGATCAGATCCAATCAGATTAGATCAGATCCAATCAGATCAGATCAGATCCAATCAGATCAGATCAGATTCAATCAGATCAGATCAGATCAGATCAGATCCAATCAGATCAGATCAGATCCAATCAGATCAGATCAGATCCAATCAGATCAGATCAGACCAGATCAGATCAGAACTTATTAGAATCAGATCAGATCAGAAAAAATAAGTTGAACGGAACGGAGCCTTAGTTGCAAAAAAAGATTAATCTGATTATATTTAAATGAGATGGAACATGTGTACACATGTCAATTACTAATTGGTACAAGTATAGGGTGTTTTAAAACACCCTTTTCAGAAGCTGCCCCCAAGGAATCGCCATTTCGAGGTCACTCATATTGGTATATCTAATATTGTGATGGCCAGTGTGTATTCCTACTAATACTTGGTATTAATACGGGATAATAGTCTAATACTAGAACAAGAGATTGGTGATGAAAGCCAATAATGGTCTAATACTATAACAAGAGATTGGTGATGAAAGCCATGAGATGTTGCAATTGCAACAGCTAAAACATAAATGCAATCCTCTCCATTCTTACAGTGACGATAAAACGACTATTGGCATGCCCAGTGCTTTGCTTGAACCGTAAAGCTACAGTGCAATGGTCATCATCCTGTGCATCCTGATCAACATTAACAGAAACGGCAACTCAATGACACGCTAAAACGAAAATTCAATTCAACTGCAAATTAAGTCTAATCCTTTCTAAGGCCACTAATGAAATCTGAATACCAAAACGTATAGAAATCATCATTTGACAAGATGCCGCCAACTCAGAATTCACTGCGATCTGGTGAAATGGATTCCTGAATTTTGCTCTCAGAACCCATAGCTGAATCTTCTCTTCCCATATTGGTCTCTTCAGGCAGAGCAATCATATCATGGAGACCATGGATCACGATCCAATCATTTGTAAACATGTCCGGAAATGAGATTTTAACCCCGTTCACAAAAACTAAGCCATTGTCGCTGGCTATGTTTATGGTAAACCCGTTCCCGTTATCCTTGAAAACTGTTCCAGTACCCTTCCCGAGCTCGTTCAGCTCTGCCCATGGAAGTACACAAGGTAGAATGTGCCTCATGAAAATTGACTGGTACATTAACACATCGCCGGAATACATAACCAAAGCCTCGTCCACCGGCGCAAACACAGTCAATTTCAACGGAGAGGGGTTCAGAAATCCGGAGATCTGCAGATCCAGAAATGAGGCCATAATGAGATAGCCTCTAGATTTCAGTGCAGCGGATGCGTCCTGTAGTTGCGAGAACGGTTGCAATTTGCATCGGGGGCGAGGATTCGAACACGAGCTTGGTTCTCCCGCAATCTGGAGGCTGAAATTAGGGCGGAAAAAGTCGTCGATAGGGAAGACGACCACAGAACCATCATCGAAAATGGGAGGGCCGGAGATGTTGACCCCATTGATGGAAACCGTAGATCCGTCGGGGCGAGATGTAGTAACGTACAGCGGACTGGAGGAGGTTAGAGTTGGAATTTTGGAGCCGTATGGGAGAGAGCGGAGGGAAGTGGATGAAAGCGAGATAGGGGCAAAGTGGAGAAGGAGGTGTGGGAGAGACGGCTGCCCAAAAGCCTCGAAGGCGGAGTCCGGCGGAGTGAAGATTGTGAAGGTGGAAGTAAAGTTGGTTGTCAAGTCGGAGTGGAAGAAGAGATCAGAATCGGCTATGAGCTGAATTGTGAGAGACATGGCTGTGTAGCCGGAATCCGAGAGAGCTTCTACAGTGGTCCGTACAAATTGAGGCGGCGACTGTGGCTACAGGTCGCCTCGTGCAGCGGATAGAGAAATGGAGAAGAGAAAAAGTGCAAGTGCAGCGAGAGGGAGCGATTTGGAGGAAACCATTGTTTCAACCTGTATACTGTCTTCGTGGAGGCTGGCGAGGGAGATTTTGAGAGCGAGATCTGAATTATATACAGTGATCGTTTCCTCCCACGGTGGCTCTGTTTGGGGCCTTGGGCGGGATTGCTAGAAGGCATCCGCCCGGTGCAGGCAGACTACTAACGAGTACTCCGTGTCTAGTAATTTAGTCTTCAAATTTCACTTTTTGGATCAAATTTTATAAACTTTCAAAAAAGAGTCATGTTACACTTTTACCAAAATTTGTATCCCAAATTTACACCATTCACATATACCAATATTTTGATGGTTCACACTGACATTAAGTCTTAGTGCATAAACAAAAATTTACATTGACACAAAGTATTGGTGCGTTAACAAACATTAATATTACACCAACACAAAATGTTGGTGCACACCACGTGCGGTGTACAAATGGGATAAAAACCCTTGGAGTACAAATAGCTTTATCCTTCAAAAAATATATATTGTACGGCTTCCCTTCAACGGCTTCCAGTTAATATATTTGTTTAGTTTAACTTTTTCATATCAAACAGGATAAATTTTAAATTTCAATTATTATTTTTTTGTATTACATATTGTTGGAAATTTTAAATAAATTGGACATTTTCGGACATAAATTCGGTAGGGTTCACAAAATTATCTTTCGAAATAATTATGGACGTTTAATCTCGTAAGTAAGACGAACGTCTTAACATTATACACGCCATAAACGGTGCTCGGGTGAATGAGAAATTAATTCTCAAAGTTGAATAAGAGGGAAGAGTAAAAACCCTTGTCCCACACCGGTCTTTGAACCTTTCGTATTCTCATATTTAAACTTAGGCTTTGAATTGAGCTTATAAAAGGAACAAGAAGAGAACTCCTCGCGCGTCGTCGTCGCCGCCGCCCGTCTGGCTCGTCACGACACGACACGCGCGCGCACGTCGGGTCGGGGCGAGGTGAGGCGCGCCCGCGGCGGGGCGGGGCTAAATTTTTACGAGACCGAATCATACACGCGTGTACACTTCATTAATAACGAAGTGTACGGAGTAAAGGCATGCATGCAGTCACGTATGAAGAGTCATTCGACTCTTCGTAATATCCGATAGGTCCAGCGAAGGGTCCGATTCCTCTCCTATAAATGGAGGGCTCGGCTGCAGGGATTACACACTCGAAACAACTCTCTCTCTGCATTTTTAAAGTTTCCGACTACTCCCCATCTCTGATCATCTTCGCCGGCGATAACTCTCCGTCATTCTCGTTCACCGGTGCTCTGTTCTACCGCTCTAGACTTAGCACGCTGCGGTTTTATCCTGGGAGGAGATTGCCCACATTTTCCTGTGCGGGAGGCGGGCAATACTATCTTAAGGAAAGCTCCGGCGACTCCGCTTTTGTTGGGAAAAATATTATAGATTTTGATGATGATGTATTTAGATTGTAATAGGGACTTTAGGTCTCCCCCAATATTCAATGTAATTTTTCTTTTTAGAAATATTGTTAAAACCGAGTTCTTGAGATTTCCAATAAATTTGTGATATTTCACTTTGTGGTTTGATGTCAATGGTTGAAGACTTAATCAAATTCAGTGATATGGAAATTTGATATCTTGATCGGAAATGTCAGAGACAAGTAAGGATATCTCAAAGCAGTTGAAGATCCTCTAATCCGGAACACTACATGATAACCAGATGTCTTGCTACAACCCGCTGAAGGCTAAGTCATCCAAATCGGAAGACTAGCGCGGATCTCTTTCTCACCCGGAAGTCTGTGAATGACTCTTCCGGATTTGTCAGCGAAGAACCGGATGCCTCAAGAAAGACCGGAACTCTCAGAAGCGGACAAGTGAGAAAAGACTTAGAAAATTATCTAAGTCTTGAATGAAGAAATTCTACCCGTTGGTAAGGAAAAATCAATCTCTTGATTTTCAACGGCTAGATTGAAGATAATTAAGCTGATTCAAGAACAAATGACTTGAAGAAAAAGTCCAAAGAAGCAGTGGAGAAGCTTCTTGAAACGACCAAACATAAGGGTCGTGAAGGACTGGGGTTTGACCCCTCCAGTTCCAAAAGGAAAGGGAGAACAACTTTTATCCCTTATAAACCTACTGCCAAACCCAATAAGCAGAAAGGAAAGGAGAAGGAGAAACCCACAGAAGTTCCCAAAAAGGTAGTCCCTCCTAAGAACTATAGGAAGCTGGACAAACCTCAAAAAGGAAACAATTTCAGAAGAAAACCTTCTAACCCCCACTATACACGAGGCTATACTCATTATGGGGTAGATAGGAATTTTCCAAGGAATTCTGAGTGGAGAACTATGCCAAGATATAGTCATCCTCCACCCCAGAAACTATTTGTTCCGCCTAAGTATGCTTACAACCGTCACATGCCACACTATGCACAACCTAGACAAAACTATAGGTCTCATCAACCTAGGTTTGCTAGGAGGAAACAGGAAATTGCACCACCTGCTCGTAGGAAATTTTATGCCTACAATTATGATTACAATCCCAACAAGTTTAGGGCTGCAAGGAAAATTACCTGCAACTTCAAACTTGATGTAGGGACACACACCATTAACTATTCCGGACCCAAACTGAATTGGGTACCAAAATCTTCCTCCTCCTAATGCAGAAAGCCACTAAGTACCCAGGTGTCTGGTACTTAGACAGTGGCTGTTCAAGACACATGACGGCTGATGCGAGTCTTTTGAGCAATCTAATTCCCTATGATGGTCCAAGAGTTACTTTTGGAGGAAGCAATGATTTTTGCCTTACAAAAGGGCTAGGAAATCTAGTATACAAGGGACTAACCATCCAAGATGTATCTTATGTGGAAGGTCTCAATTATAACCTTCTTAGCATAAGTCAGTTTTGTGATAAAGGTTACTCCTTGGAATTCCTGCAAGGACATGGCATCCCTCAAGAACATCTCCACAAATGAAGTCATTCTCACTGGGAAGAGAATCAGAAACATCTATGAAGTGATGTGGGATGATGTCAAGGAAGCATGCCTAATCAGCAAAGGTGACACTAACCTTCTATGGCTTTGGTTTAAGAGGTTGAGTCATCTCAACTTCAAAACTCTCAACAAGCTATCCAAAGAAGGGTTAGTAGAAGGTCTTCCCAAAGCTGTATTCAAGAAGGAAAGCATTTGTGATGCTTGCCAGAAAGGAAAGCAAGTCAAGTCTACTTTCAAGGCAAAACCGGCACCCTCAACTACAAGGATACTAAGTCTTGTTCACATGGACTTATTTGGCCCTGTTACACCAATAAGTCTAAGTGGAAAGAAATATGTCCTAGTGGTAGTTGATGACTACTCAAGATACACGTGGACAATCTTTCTCAACAGCAAGAAGGAAACACAAGGGAAGCTCACTAATTGCATGAAGCACATTCAAAACCAAGCAAGTCAGACCATCCAGAAGATCAGATCTGACAAAGGCACAGAATTCCTGAATGAAATCATCATTCATTACTGTGAAGAAAATGGAATTCTTCATTAGACATCAGCAGCAAGGACACCTCAACAGAATGGTGTTGCTGAAAGAAGGAACAGAACCTTGAAGGAAGCAGTAAGGACCATGCTAGCCGAAGGTTTCTTGCCAAAGAGGTTCTGGGCTGAAGCTGTAAACACAGCTTTCTTTACTCAAAATAGGAGTATGATTTATAAAAGGCACAACAAAACTCCATATGAACTATGGAATGGGAGAAAGCCTAATATATCATATTTCCATATTTTTGGGAGCAAGTGCTTTGTGTTAAACAATGGGAAGAATCATTTGAACACTTTTGATGAGAAATCAGATGAGGCCATCTTCCTTGGATATTCTATGGTGAGCAAGGCGTTCAGAGTCTTCAACAAAAGAACCATGATCACTAAAGAGTCAATACATGTTATTTTTGATGAAAAACATGTGGTTGACAAGCCATCAAAGCATTATCATGAGGTTCTGGATCTCTCAGACAAGGATGAAGAAGTCAATGAAGGAGATAGAATGAAGCCTACGGAGTTCATTCCATTCGGAAGTCTACCACTGAAGACTTCACAAAGAAATCTGGATCCAGACAGTGCTGAGCCTACCGGAAATCTTGGCCAGCCTTCCAATATTCCGGATTACTCAAATGGCGACAATTCCGGAAATGGCGACCTAGTGCAATCCATCCGGAAACACCAACAAATTCTGTTCTTCAACCAGAAGCTGAACTAGATCAACTAGTCAACCCCAATCAACACAGTCTTCGTTGGTTAAGGGATCATCCTCCTCTACAAGTCATTGGAGATATTCAATCTGGCGTTCGCACAAGGAGTGCCCAACAGAATCTAGAAGCCATGCTAGCTTGTTTCATCTCACAAGTGGAACCAAAGAATATTGAATAAGCTCTAGCTGATTCTGATTGGATCAATGCAATGCAAGAAGAACTCAACCAATTTACTAGAAATGACGTCTGGAAACTTGTTCCCAGACCTACTCATCAACATGTCATTGGGACAAAGTGGGTCTTCCAGGACAAGATGGATGAAAACGGCGTTGTTGTCAGAAACAAAGCCCTGTTGGTTGCAAAAGGTTATTGTCAAGAAGAAGGTATAGATTTTGATGAAACCTTCGCTCCAGTTGCTAGACTTGAAGCTATAAGGCTGTTTCTAGCCTTTGCTGCTCACAAGGACTTCAAAGTCTATTAAATGGATGTCAAAAGTGCATTTCTCAATGGAAACCTAGAGGAAGAAGTTTATGTGGAACAACCTCCAGGATTTGAGTTACGCACTAAAGGAGATCAAGTGTACAGACTCAAAAAGGCGCTATATGGACTCAAACAAGCACCAAGAGCTTGGTATGATACATTGTCTCAATTCCTTATAGACAATGGATTCATCAAAGGAGTCATTGACAAGACCCTGTTCAAACTACAAGATGGAGAAGATCTCTTATTGGTCGAAATCTATGTGGACGACATCATATTTGGCTTAACTAAGGAAGCTCTTTGCACCATGTTCTCCACCCTCATGCAAGGAAAATTTGAGATGAGCATGATGGGGGAACTCAACTACTTCCTTGGTCTTCAAATCAGAAGTGAAGGGACTCTCATCAACCAAGCCAAGTACACAAGGGGTCTTATCAAGAAATTCAAAGTTGATCAGAAGTCATCCGTTTATGTCCCCATGAGTACATCCACCAAGCTTGATATGGATGTAGATGGAAAGGATGTTGATCAAACTCTCTACAGAGGAATAGTTGGATCTCTACTCTATCTTACTGCAAGCCGTCCGGATATCTCATGTGCAGTAGGTGGTTGTGCCAGATTCCAGTCAAAGCCAAAGGAAACTCTTCTAATAGGAGCCAAAAGGATTCTTAGATACCTCAAAGGAACTCAGAACATGGGTTTATGGTATGCTAAGAGCAGTTCATTTGAGTTAGTGGGATACTCAGATTCTGACTTTGCCGGATGCAAAGTTGACCAGAAGAGTGCATCTGGTACTTGTCAAATCATCGGCGGAAATCTTGTTTCTTGGTTCAGTAAGAAACAAAACTCCATCTCTACATCAACAGCAGAAGCAGAGTACATTGCTCCTGGCAGTTGTTGTGCTCAGATCTTGTGGCTAAAGCAACAGCTACTGGACTATGGAGTCAAAACAAAGGAAGTGACAATCTTTTGTGACAATCGAAGTGCTATAGCCATCTCACAAAATCCAGTGCATCATTCTCGCACTAAGCACATTGATGTCAAGCATCACTTCATCAGAGATCATGTGGAAAAGAAAGATATCAAAATTGAGTATATCTCAACTGAAGAGCAATTGGCGGATATCTTCACAAAACCACTAAGTGAAGCCAAGTTTTCCGATTTGCTTCACAATATTGTTCTAATTCAATTAGACTGAGTGCGGTACACGTGGCACTCCACTTTCCACGTCTGTTAAAATAGTGGGTAGGCACGTGGCCTTGGGAATAGTTAAAAACCCAATCGCCACTAGCCGCATAAATCGCCCAAATTAAACCCAATCGCCACTATAATCAGATCTCAACTGCCCACTCAGCCCACTCAAATTTTCGTCGTCTTCTTCACAAGAACCCTCTGATAGAATTCTCAAGAACCCTAAAATTCTTCAAATTCTTCAGATTCTTTCACTCAAATTTCAGAGAAAATGAAGATTGTTAGTGCAGATGTCCATTTCCAGAAGTTGGAAGGCAAGTGCTCTTCATCGGCGTTCTATCAAGACTATCTGGAGATGATTGTTGCTCAAGAACTCTCCGAATTGCTTTGTATGGAGATTCACTCCAAATATGAAGATGAAGTTCTTGAATTCTACAGGAATGGAAAAGTCAAGACTGTCCAATCGAAGAAGAACCCACAGAGGATGGTTCAAATCATCAAGTCCACTGTTGGAGGCGCCAAAGTAAAGATTTCACAGAAGAAATTGGAGGAGAAGCTTCATCTTCCCAATTCTGGAAGTGAAATTGGGAGACTTCCAGCCAAGAATCTGGATTGGAAGACTATTGGGATTTCTGGGCAAATCCCCTCTGGTCCAGCTAAGAAATTAGATTTGAAGAATGATTACAAGTTAGTTCTGGAGCTGGTCATCGCATGCCTTGAATGTGGCAGTGGAGGACATGCCGATGACATCACTCAGGAGAGGGCCTTCATCATCAACGCCCTCATTACCAAATCTAAGGTATATTGGGCTAAACACTTCTTCAATTCCATTTCAAAGCACTTAGGGAAGCCCAAATAGAAGTACCTGTGTCAAGGTCTGTACCTTGGGTACATCTTGGAGACCATGGGTGTTGCCTCAGAAGGCAAGAAGTATGAAGCTAGATATTGCCTTTACTACATGACTTCCAAAGGAGAAAACAAAGTCAGTTCAACTGCAGAGGAAAGCTCTTCAGACAATGTCCTCATTATGAGTCTGAAAAAGTCAGTAAAGAGGAAGCAAGTGGTGTCTCCCTCTCCTAGTGCTGAAGCACCACAGAATCTAGCAGTGGTGAATTTGGAAGAAGAAGAAGAAGAAGTTTCTGCCCAAGGGGAACTTCAAAGGGAGAAGAAAAGGAAAATCACCTCTCCCTCCACATCTGAAAATGTCAACCCGAATGAGTTGGTGGGAAAAGAACCAGTTGAGGAACACTCTGCACTCAATCAGAGCCCTCAACAACTTGATGAAGAAATTCCTCAAGTTCAGAGTTCTCCAACCCCTTCTCTACAAGCTCAAACTGTTGATGTAGAGAGCCAATTCATGCAGATCTACTATGACGGGAGAGATTGGAAGGTTGGAAACTCAGCAGAGCAGCTGTTGGGATGGGACCAACAACTGAAAAATGAGAAGATCATCAAGAAATGCTTGGGTCTACCTGTTAATCATTGCTGTGAGCAAATTTTGGATGTTGACTAGGTGTGGCAAAAAAACTATGAAGATTTGCATTTTGAACACTTGACCACCACACCAGTTTCAGAATTTGAGGTTGACGATGAGGATCCTGCAGTCTACAGGCCAATCTTCTCAAAAACAATAGAAGATCAGATGGTTCTCACCACTGAAGCACATGCTAATATGGAAGCCACAGCAGAGGATTTCCAAGTATTTCCGGAAACCTCCCCTGCTTTTGAGACTGTTTTGCCTGAAGCTGTCCTGGAGAATGAAGCTTCTCCCCAACAAGAACAGCACCAGGAAGCTTCAGAGGAAGAACCTCTTCAACTCCTCCAATCCCAAGTTCAAGAGATTCTCACAACTCCTTGTGAGCTCTCCAATCAACCTGGACTTGAGATTCCGGAGAAGTCAACTGGAAATCTGGAGAAGTCCACCCCTCCAAAGACAACAGCACTTGAAGCTCAAGAAAACCCATATGTAGAAGTCTAGAGGAGTTCTGCAGAAGCTGAAGGAGAAGCTCAAATAGCGACACTAGAGGCCACTGAAACCCCAGTAGCTATTTTTGAGCAACAAGATGAAGTTGAAGAAAGAGATTCCCTCTCTAGGGATATCTCAAACTTTGCGCTTGATGAAACATAGGAAGAGTCTGAGAAGACACTGAAGATTGATGATGAAGAAGCTGAGCAAGGAGATTCTGAATCCCTCCCCCTGCAACTCTTCCACAGAGCACCTTCTTCACATCAGGTAACTAACTTTCACTTCCACAGCTCTTCCACATCCACTCTTCCGGATGAGGTACCGGAAAACTGGACAAGAAAGGTCCAAGGGTTGATTGAATCAGCCCTAGCATCTCAGCATGCCTCTTTTAGGCAAGAAATACAATAGATAGAAGCTAGGCATAACAAGCTGATGGAGAAATCCGAAGAAAAACATTGCTCAGATCTCAAGGAGATAAGCAAATCGGTGGACAAGACTCTAGAGATTATTTCTCTTTTGAGTGACTCTGTGAACAAAACAATGGAGGCTTATGCATCTGACTGTCATCTTCAATTCAAATAAGTTAATAGAATCAAAGAGCAGATTGCAACAATCACAGTCAGCCTACAGAAGCAGATGTCCTTTCTCCAGATGGACATTAGGTCAGCCCTGGCAGTGTCTTCAGCAAATCAAGTGGAAACCCAAGATTACTTGAAGGTTATTGCTGAAAATCAGAAGAAAGCATTCAAGCTGTTCAGACATTTTGGAACCTACACTGGCAATCGCAAGATAGATGTAATTGTCCAACACAATAGTCCATCCCTAATTCCACAGCTGCCTATTGAAGTCAAGAAATGAGAGCTCTTGTACATTCCATCCCATCTGAACATGACGGAACTTATACTAGAAGCCCAACAGAGCAATCCGGAGAACTCAACGCAGCATCTGACAGACTCTAGCCTTGATGGAACAGAAGTTGTTGGAACCATTGCCTCCCACTTCTCAAATGATGAACAGACAAAGGAGAGATACAACAACCTCAGACGCATCAAAGAACAGTGTGGAATTATGCAAGGCATTAGTGAGGCTACCGGATCTTCTAAGCGCAAGAAGCACTGAAGGCTCTTTTCATCAAACTAGGGGGAAGTATGTGAAAACATTATTTTGTTTTGATGAAAACACCTTCTTGTTTAAACATGAGTTTTGGTTTAAACATTGCTTAATACTTCTCTTAATTATGCTTATTATGCTTGATCATATTCATTTTAAGTATGATTTTTGAGATTTATCTTTAAGCGCATACATTCAGGGGGAACTTAACTATTTTTTGCTAACAATTGTTTTTGGCAATGAACTATTGATAAACTCTAAGCAATGGAAGACGGATACCTCAGTTTAAGTACTAAAGTTGGAGATCTCCGATTCAGGTACTTTACAAAATCTACCTTCTTAAACTAAGATTTAATCCTTAGTTCATTTCCATCTTTACTCTAAAGTACTGGTCCTTAGGATTTTTGTATTGTACAGGACTTTGGAAAAATAGTACCACTTTTTCTTTTAAAAATGAATTACAATTTTTTTTGGGTACTACCTCGTCCTAATTAGAAATTAGAACTATAGGAAATGAAAAATGATAGTTTTATTTTGGGCCTTGAGAACCCAATCGGAATAATTTCACTTTAGTGCATAGATATTTTTTTGGGCCACTCTTTTGGGCTTAGCCAAACCAAAACAGTTATGTTTTTCAAACCAAACGAAACTGATTGTTTTTAATTGGAACAGTTTCAACACCTTCGTAACTGGTAAAAGATTCTTTCAACTTTTCAGAATTCAACTTCTTGGAAGTTGAAACTCTTTTACTCTCACCATTCCAACTACCCACTTAATGGAACCCGTGAACCTCCCCTCTCTCAACCTCTCCTCCTATTTAAACCAAGACATTCCAATCCATTCCTATCACAAACAACTCTTTCAATATGAAAAGTCTTCAAACTCACTGTCGGAGAAAAACACTAAGAAAAATATCCTCAATGGAAAATTTTTCTTTCTCACCCTCATAGACGGCAATGGAGAAAGCCTAAAGAGAAGAAAAGACATTCAAGGTCTATGGTGAGAATCTCGGCAGTAGGAAGGTCTGTGGTGAAAATCTCGTATTTTTCAGGATTACACAATACACCTTCTTCGGAACAACACTCTCTCCATCTTCGTTTCTTCTAATTTTCTTTCAAAAATTATCTTTTTCCTTTTCTCTTTTTTGTTCTTCAAATTTTATTTTAATTTTTTTTTATCTTGGCCTACTTTCATCTCACCCTCTTCCCTTCTCACTTTGTTTTCTTTTCTTTTATTTCTACTGTCTCTGCACCCTTCTCTCAAGGCTCTCTCTCTTTCCAGGCTTGTTCATTTTTTCTCATACTTCTCCTTTAAACTCTCTTTCAAATTTTTTTTCTCTTTCATCTTTAAAAACCCTTATTTTATCTTTTTCACAATCAGTTCTCTTTTCCAAAACCTTCTTTTGTCCTTCTGTCTTTTTCTTTTCTTCCACCGCCGCCTCCTTTCCCTCCACTTTCTTTTTCTTTTTGTTTTTTCTTTTTGGAGAGATGTTGCTTCCTAGATCTCAAATATCCACTTTGGATATTAAAGATCTATCAAACGCACCGCCATCTGTACTACCAAGCAAAATCTACTGGAAGTGAAAGCGGCAAATGTCAGAAAATATCACAAATCTCAAGACAAGACTTGGTTTAGGAATTATTGAAATTTTAATTGTATTTGTTTAAGAGTTTTTGTTAACAAGCTGTATATTATGAGAAACTAAAAAAAGTTATAAAATTAGTTCTCAGTACAGCGACCGGAACTCTTAAACACTTGTTTGTCATCATCAAAAAGGGGGAAATTGTTGGGAAAAATATTATAGATTTTGATGATGATGTATTTAGATTGTAATAGGGACTCTAGGTCTCCCCCAATATTCAATGTAATTTTTCTTTTTAGAAATATTGTTAAAACCAAGTTCTTGAGATTTCCAATAAAGTTGTGATATTTTACTAAGTGATTTGATATTTGAAGACTTAATAAAATTCAGTGATATGGAAATTGGATATCTTGATCGGAAATGTCAGAGACAAGTAAGGATCTCTCAAAGCAGATGAAGATCCTCTAATCCGGAACACTACATAATAACTGGATGTCTCGCTATAACCCGCTGAAGGCTAAGTCATCCAAATCGGAAGACTAGCGCAGATCTCTTTCTCACCTGGAAGTCTGTGAATGACTCTTTCGGATTTGTCAGGGAAAGAACCGGATGCCTCAAGAAAGACCGGAATTCTCAGAAGCAGACAAGTGAGAAAAGACTTAGAAAATTATCTAAGTCTTGAATGAAGAAATTCTACCCGTTGGTAAGGAAAAATCAATCTCTTGATTTTTAACGGTTAGATTGAAGATAATTATGCTGATTCAAGAACAAATGACTTGAAGACAAAGTCTGTACCTCTCAAATTAAAGAGCTCATCCAGATTCCTAAACAAGCACTAGAAGACAAACTGAGTAAGGAGCTACAGTCCAGAATTCTTGAACAAAAGCTAGAAGACGGATTCTATGGAAAAAGGAATCCCTCCTCAAACAATTGGGTATGTCCAAACACCCATTCCAATGAGGAATCCTCAATCACAATCTTCATTCAAAATTGAAGCCAGCAAATGCAACAGATAGTCTATTTTGATTCAACGGATAGATTACCCAATCCAGCTATAAATAGCATCCTTGGAAGACTGGAGATATATACCAAGAGAAACGAACACAACAAAGCTATCTCATTCACAGTTAGCCAAAAAGCTTGATAAAAAGAGATTTCTAAACTCCTTATCCAGAAGCAAACTTCTCCTCCTTCCAAAGAGCTATAGTGTAAACACTTGAAGGTTTCCTTGCCTCAAGTACCACACCACGTTGAAGGATACAACTTTTAATCAAACTTCTTGATTAAAAAGGGGGTACATCAACTTTCTTACAAGTTGATATTGCAAGTCCTATTGTTCGGATCTTGCAGTTGTTGAAGAAGCGTGACCTTCGAAGGAACAACAAAGCCAGCACGAGTGCAGTAGCACCATTGGCCTTGTAAAGATATACCGTGCAGAAATTCACACAAGTGTAATTGTTGGTTCATTATTCACTACATAGTTGATTTTGAGGACGTAGAAGGATTACCCCACCTTCGAACCTCGTTAAAGTTTGCGTGTCTCTCTCTTTTATCTTTACTCATACTTGCAATTATATTAACTGTGAAAACTAACTCATCCATATTGATTACTGCTCACTACCCACCAAATCCGCGCACAATCTAAAGTTCACAAGAACTCTAGATTAACACTCATTTTCACGTTTTCAAAAGAAACGAAAAAGTTTTAAATTTGTAACAAAGTCTATTCACCCCCCCTCTAGACTTTGTATCTCACCACTTTGGGACCACCAGCTTGGCTGCAGGGATTACACACTCGAAACAACTCTCTTTGCATTTCTAAAGTTTCCGACTACTCCCCATCTCCGATCATCTTCTCCGGTTATAACTCCTCGTCATTCTTGTTCGCCAATGCTCTATTCTACCGCTCTAGACTTAGCACGCTACGGTTTTATCATGGGAGGAGATTGCCCACGTTTGCCTGTGTGAGAGGCGGGCAATACTACCTTAAGGAAAGCTCCGGCGACTCCGCTTTCCTTACCCTTCTTTCTAGAAACTACTCCGGCGCCGTTCCTCTCTCCGTCCGTTCGTGTTCTTGCGTCCGTTCAAGCATCCGAAGACTCCAACTTTTTCTTTTCTTTATTTTGTTGTAAAATCCGAACGTTTTATAAGTTCGGATTAATTTTATTTTATTTTTTTTCCCGCTCTACTTTCAACACATATTACTATCATAAAATAAAATTTCAAAACTTCTTAGTAAGATAAAACTAATATAAATATTTTTGTGTTAAAAAACATTACGAGTTATTAATTGAAGTTTAAGAATCATCTTGTTTGACTTGAAAAAGTCAAATTTATCAAATCATATTTGGGGCGAAGGGGAATATCTTGTTATAAATGTAATACTATCTTCCTCGTGAAAAATTCATGTTTTGACTTTTTTGATCAAAAAGTGAAGTCTTTCACCATATAATGGGAAAAATGATTTTTAATTTTTATGTATATTAAATATAATTAGGTTTATCTTAAGATATAGTTTTGATATATCAAATTTTATAATATTTATTTACTCAATTTATACATAATTTATAGTTAAAGAGTGTCATTTTTTGACCAAAAAAGTCAAAACAATAAAAAGTTTGAAGGATGGAGGAAGTATTAATAGTTTCTTTTGAAATGTAGTCTTACAATATTAATTTTTTATAAAATATATCTATGTATGAATAATAAATCAATATTAATGGTCAAAATATAACAATAGAAACGTGAAAATTTTAAATGAAAGAAAAAAATCAAAACCACGGATGTAGAAAATTCAATATAGAATTCATACAATCCATTAAATATACCCCTTATTAAAAATGATCATTTTCAAAAAATACTTAATTGGAAAAGATTATTTTGAAGCTTATTCTAAATTAATATGACATAAAATATCAAATGAAATATTTGCACTTGATGGTGTAAATATAGCTGGGTGGGTTAACCGGGTTTGATCTGGACACACTCGACCCGTAGTAAAATATACACAACAAGAACACAAAGTATGACCTAGACCGGGTAAATCTCCTCAGTCCGAATTATATTTCTTACTCTGTCTCAAGAGTGTACTTTTTAGTGAGATAAAGAATGGATCCCCTCCTCTATCTATAATAATCATATTTATAGAAAAGGATTTGTGACCTTCCCTTGTTCATCCATGGACAAGATAGGAAACCCGGAGGAAGGTCACTGCACACAATCAAACCACTATTCAATTAATGAATCTAGCAACTACAAGCCAAGACATGCACTGTTCAATCAATCAAAGACTATAAGGTGGATATTCTCAATCCAATCAACCCCACAAAATGACAAACATCCCTTTCATTGTATGCCTCATGATGGGTGAGCGGCGGGGTGGTCCCTCGATCTTTAAAGTGATTCGCCATGCTTAAGAGACTGGACCAGTGTTAGTCAAGTAAGGTAATATGACCGGTCACCTTTCTTCAAAGGTGACCCGGTCATTTCTTGAGCTCAAACCGTGTCTCTAGTCTTCCAGAATATCCTTCGTAACATTAGGTGACGAATTGGTTATCGCCCAAAATGTGACCGGTCACTTTTAGAGGGGAGTGACCGGTCAACTTTTGACCCATCCCAATCGAAGATAAAAGAGAGAGACACGCAAACTTTAACGAGGTTCAAAGGTGGGGTAATCCTTCTATGTCCTCAAAATCCACTATGTAGTGAATAATGAACCAACAATTACACTTGTGTGAATTTCTGCACGATATATCTTCGCAAGGCCAATGTTGCTACTTCACTCGTGCTGGCTTTGTTGTTCCTTCGAAGGTCAAGCTTCTTCAACAACTGCAAGATCCGAACAATAGGACTTGCAAGATCAACTTGTAGGAAAGTTGATGTACCCCCTTTTGAATCAAGAAGTTTGATTAAAAGTTGTATCCTTCAACGTGGTGTGGTACTTGAGGCAAGGAAACCTTCAAGTGTTTACACTATAGCTCTTTGGAAGGAGGAAAAGTTTGCTTCTGGATAAGGAGTTTAAAAATCTCTCTTTATCAAGCTTTTTGGCTAACTGTGAATGAGATAGCTTTGTTGTTGGAGATTGCTTAGTTGTGTTCTACTTCTTCCAGTCTTCCAAGGATGCTATTTATAGCTGGATTGGGTAATCTATCCGTTGAATCAAAATAGACTATCCGTTGCATTTGCTGGCTTCAATTTTGAATGAAGATTGTGATTGAGGATTCCTCATTGGAATGGGTGTTTGGACATACCCAATTGTTTGAGGAGGGACTTCTTTTTCCACAGAATCCGTCTTCTACCTGTTGTTCAAGAATTCTGGACTGTAGCTCTTTATTGAGTGGAGTACTCAGTTTGTCTTCTAGTGCTTGTTTAGGAATTCTAGGCGAGCTCTTCAATTTGAGAAGTCCAGACTTTGTCTTCAAGTCATTTGTTCTTCAATCAACTTAATTATCCTCAATCTAGCCGTTGAAAATCAAGAGATTGATTTTTTCTTACTAATGGGTAGAATTTCTTCATTCAAGACTTAGATAATTTTCTAAGTCATTTCTCACTTGTCTGCTTCTGAGAATTCCGGTCTTTCTTGAGGCATCCGGTTCTTTGCTGACTAATCTGGAAAAGTCATTCATAGACTTCCAGGTGAGAAAGAGATCCGCGCTAGTCTTCCGATCCGGATGACTTAGCCTTCAGCGGGTTGTAGCGAAACATCCGGTTATCATGTAGTGTTCCGGATTAGAGGATCTTCAAAGTAATCAACTGCTTTGAGAATTCCTTACTTGTCTCTGACATTTCCGATCAAGATATCCAATTTCCATATCAGAGAATTTGATTAAGTCTTCAAAGATTGACATCAAACCATAGAGTAAAATATCACAACTTTATTGGAAATCTCAAGAACTCGGTTTTAACAATATAAGATTTTTCTTTTTAATGTAACTTATAACCCCCTCTGGATTTCAGGGATAATGTTAGATTTATGTAGTAGTAGTTTTAGATATTATAAAAAGGGTTGTTAAAGGGGGAAAAACTACTACTGTTTGTTCACAAATTCTCAAGGCCAGCGACATGACTCTTGATTAAAATATTCTTTCTTTTAGTTTCTCATAATATACAACTTGTTAACAAAAACTCTTAAACAAATACAATTCAAATTACAATAATGCCTAAACCAAGTCTTGTCTTGAGATTTGTGATATTTTCAGCTGCCATTTGCTGCTTTCATTTCCAGCGGATTTTGCTTGGTAGTACAGATGGCATTGTGTTTGATGGATCTCAATATCCAAAGTGGATATTTGAGATCTAGGAAGCAACATATCTCCAAAAGGCAAAAACAAAAACAAAAAGAAAATAGAGGGAAAGGAGGAGCTGGTGAAAGGAAAGAAAAAGACAGAAGGACAAGAAAAAGGTTTTGGGAAAGAGAATTGATTGTGAAAAAGATAGGAAGATAAAAGAAGGGTTTTTAAAGATGAAGGGAAAAATAAAATTTTGAAAAGAGTTGTTAAAAAAATATGGTGACTAGGGAAGAAAAAGTTTTGAAAAAGAGGTGGAGAAGGGTGCAGAGACAGCAAAAGTGGAGATTTAAAATCAATTTTAAAATAAAAGAAAAGAAAAGAAAAAGAGAGGGGAAGAGGATGAGATGAAAGCTGGACAAGAGAAAAATTTTGAAAAGAAATTTTGAAGAGCAAAGAAAAGAAAAAGAAAAAAATGAAACAAAAATGGAGAGAGTGTTGTTCCAGAGAAGATATGTGGTGAGATTCAAAAATATGCAAGATTCACACCAAATATCTTCTCTACTGCCGAGATTCCCACCAAATATCTTGAATATCTTTTCTTCTCATCAGGCTTTCTTCATTGCCGTCTATGAGGGTGAGAAAGAAAAATTTCTCCTTTGAGGACATTTTTCTTGGTGTTTTTCTCAGACAGTGAGTTTAAAAACTTTTCATGTTGAGAGAGTTGTTTGTGATAGGAATGGATTGGAATGTCTTGGTTTAAATAGGAGGAGAGGTTGAGAGAGGGGAGGTTCACGGGTTCCATTAAGTAGGTAGTTGGAACGGTGAGAGTAAAAGAGTTTCAGTTTCCAAGAAGTTGAATTTTGAAAAGTTGAAGGAATCTTTTACCAGTTACCAAAGTGTTGAAACTGTTCCAATTAAAAATCAGTTTCGTTTGGTTTGAAAAACGTAACTGTTCTGGTTTGGCTAAGCCCAAAAGAGTGGCCCAAAAAAAAATCTATGCACTAAAGAGAAATTATTCCTATTGGGTTCTCAAGGCCCAAAATAAAACTATCATTTTTCATTTCCTATAGTTCTAATTTCTAATTAGGGCGAGGTAGTACCAAAAAAATATGAAATTCATTTTTAAAAGAAAAGTGGTACTATTTTTCCAAAGTCCTGTACATTATAAAAATCCTAAGGACCAGTACTTTAGAGCAAAGTTGGAAATGAACTAAGGATTAAAACTCAGTTTAAGAAAGCATATTTTGTAGAGTACCTAAATCGGAGATCTCACACTTTAGTACTAAAACTGAGGTATCCGTCTTCCATTGCTTAGAGTTCATCAATAGTTCATTACTAAAAACAATTGTTAGCCAAAAACAGTTAAGTTCCCCCTGAATTACATTCCCTCTGAATGTATGCGCTCAATAATGAATCTCAAAAATTATACTTAAAATAAATATGATCAAGCATAATTAAGGGATGTATGAAGCAATGTTTAAACCAAAAACTCATGTTTAAACAAGAAGGTATTTTCATCAAAACAAAATAATGTTTTTCAATACTTCCCCCTGGTTTGATGAAAAGAGCCTTCACTGCTTCTTGCGCTTAGATGATCCGGCAGTCTCACCAATGCCTTGCATAATTCCACACTCTTCTTTGATGCGCCTGAGATTGTTATATCTCTCCTTTGTCTGGGCATCATATGTGAAGTGGGAGGCAATGGTTCCTACAACTTCTGTTCCATCAAGAGCAGTGTTTGACAAATGCTGTATCGAGTTCTCCTGATTGCTCTGCTGGGCTTCAAGTATCAAATCCGTCATATCCAGATGCGATGGAATAATGTATGTGAGTTCTCCTTGTTTGACTACAATTGGCAACTATGGGATTTGGGATGGACTTCTGTGTTGAACAGTTACGTCCAGCTTGTGTTTCCCAGTGTAGGTGCCAAAGTGCCTGAAGAGCTTGAATGCTTCTTTCTGATTTTCAGCAAGAACCTTTAGGTAGTCTTGAGTTACCACCTGGTTTGCTGAAGATACTGCCAACGCTAATCTGATATCCATCTGGAGAAAAAACATTTGCTTCTTGAGATTGACTGTGACAGTTGCAATCTGTTGCTTGATTGCATTGATTTCTTTGAATTGAAAATGGCAGTCAGATGCATAAGCCTCCATTGTATTGCTCACAAACTTACTCAATAGAGAAATGATCTCTAGAGTTTTTTTCTACAGATTTGCTTATCTCATTGAGATTTGAGCAATACTTTTCTTAAGATTTCTCCATCAACTTGTTATGCCTTGCTTCCATCTGCTCTATCTCTTGCCTAAAAGAGGCATGCTAAGACTCTAGGGCTGATTCAATCAACCCTTTGGATCTTTCTTGTCCAGGTTTCCGGAACCTCATCTGGAAGAGTGGATGTGGAAGAGCTGTGAAAGTGGAAGTTTGTTACCTGATGTGAAGAAGGTACTCTGTGGAAGATTTGCAGAGGGAGGGATTCAGCATCTCCTTGCTCAGCTTCTTCTTCATCAATCTTCAGTGTATTTTCAGACTCTTCTTCTGTCTCATCATTCACAAAGTTTGAGATGTCCCTGGAGAGGGAATCTCTGTCTTCATCTTCAATGTGCTGCTCAAAAATAGCTACTGGAGTTTCAGTGGCCTCCATTGTGGCTATTTGAGCTTCTCCTTCAGTTTCTGCAAAACTTCTTTGAATTTCAACAGCTGGGTCTTGTTGAGCTTCATTTGTTTTTGGAGGAGTGGACTTCTCCAAATCCTCTGTTGACTTCTCTGGAATCTCAAGTCCAGTCTGATTGGAGATCTCACAAGGAGTTGTGAGAATCTCTTGAACATGAGATTGGAGGAGTTGCTGAAGTTCTTCCTCTGATCTTGTTTGAAACTGTTCTTGTTGGGGAGAAGCTGCATTCTCCTGGACAGCTTCAGGCAAAATAGTTTCAAAAGCAGGGGAGGTTTCCAGAAAGATTTGGAAATCCTCTGCTGTGGCTTCCATATCAGCTTTTGCATCAGTGGTGAGAACCATCTAATCTTCTGTTGCCTTTGAAAAGACTGGTTTGTAGACTGCAGTGTCATCATCATCAGCTTCAATCTCTGAGACTGGTGATGTGGGCAAGTATTCCAGATGCAAATTTGAATATGTTTTCTGCCAAACCCATTCAGCATCCAGCATTTGCTCACAACAGTAGTTGATAGGCAGTCCCAGACATCTCTTGATCATTTTCTCATTCTTCAGTTGTTGTTCCCATTCCAACAACTGTTCTGCAGAGTTTCCAACTTTCCAAGCTCTCCCGTCATAGTAGACCTGCATGAATTTGCTTACTTCATCATCATTTTGAGCTTGAGATGAAGGAGTTGGAAATCTCTGATCTTGGTGGGTTTCTTCATCCATCTGTTGAGGACTCTGGTTTTGTGCAGAGGGTTCCTTAACAGGTTCCTTTTCCACCAACTCATCCGGATTTGTAGATCCAGATGTGGAGGAAGAGGAGATTTTTCTTTTCTTCTTGTTCTGAAGTTCATCATGAGCAGGGACTTCTTCTTCATCATCTAGATTGACCAAAGCAAGATTCTGTGGTGCTTTAGCACTGGGGGAGGGAGACACCACATGCTTTCTTTTTGATGATTTCTTCAGATTCATAATAAGGACATTGTCTGAAAAGCTTTCTTCTGCAGTTGAACTGACTCTGTTTTCTCCTTTGGAAGAAAGATAGTAGAGCGAATATCTGGAAACATACTTCTTGCCTTTAGAGGCAACTCCCAAGGATTCCAGAATGTACCCAAGGTATAGTCCTTGACACAAATACTTCTGTTTGGGCTTCCCTAAGTGTTTAGAAGCAGAATTGAAGAAGTGTTTAGCCCAATTTACCTTGGTTCTGGTAATGAGGGCGTTGATGATGAATGCCCTTTCCTGAGTAATATCATCAGCATATCCTCCACTGCCACATTCAAGGCATGCGATGACCAGCTCTAGAACCAATTTGTAATCATTCTTCAAATCGGCCTTCTTTGCTAGGGAAGAGGGGATTTGTCCAGAAATCCCAATAGTCTTCCAGTCCAGATTCTTGGCCGGAAGCCTCCCAATTTCACTTCCTGAATTGGGAAGATGAAGCTTCTTCTCCAATTTCTTTTGTGAAATTTTTACTTTGGCCCCTCCAACAGTGGACTTGATAACTTGAATCGTCCTCTGTGGATTCTTCTTTGATTGGATAGTCTTGACCTTACCATTCTTGTAGAATTCAAGAACTTCGTCTTCATACTTGGAGCGAATCTCCATGTGAAGGAATTCAGTGAGTTCCTGAGCAGCAATCATCTCTAGATAGGATTGATAGAACGCCGGTGAAGAACACTTGGCTTCCAACTTCTGGAAATGGACATTTGCGCCAACAATCATCATTTTCTATGAATTTTGGGTGATAGAATCTGAAGAAATTTAGGGTTCTTGAGAATTCTTGTGAGGAAGACGACGAAGATTTGAGTGGGCTGAGTGGGCAGTTGAGATCTGAATATGGTGGCGATTGGGTTTAATTTTGGGCATTTTATGCGGCTAGTGGTGATTGGGTTTTCAACTGTTCCCAAGGCCACGTGCCTACCCATTACTTTAAAAGACGTGGAAAGTGGATTGCCGCGTGTGCCACACTCAGTGTAATTGAATTATACCAATTTTGTGAAGCAAATCGGAAAACTTGGCTTCACTTAGTGATTTTGTGAAGATATCCGCCAGTTGTTCTTCAGTTGAGATATACTCAATTTTGATATCTTTCTTTTCCACATGGTCTCTGATGAACTGATGCATGCTTGACATCAATGTGCTTAGTGCGAGAATGATGCACCGCATTTTGTGAGATGGCTAAAGCACTTTGATTGTCACAAAATATTGTCACTTCTTTTGTTTTGACTCCATAATCCAGTAGTTGTTGCTTTAACCACAAGATTTGAGCACAACAACTACCAGCAGCAATGTACTCTGCTTCTGCTGTTGATGTAGAGATGGAATTATGTTTCTTACTGAACCAAGAAATAAGATTTCGGCCAATGAATTGACAAGTACCAGATGTACTCTTCTGTTCAACTTTGCATCCGGCAAAGTAAAAATCTGAGTATCCAACTAACTCAAATGAGCTGCTCTTAGCATACCATAAACCCATATTCTGAGTTCCTTTGAGGTATCTAAGAATCCTTTTGGCTGCAATTAAATGACTTTCCTTTGGCTTTGACTGGAATCTGGCACAAACACCTACTGCATATGAGATATCCAGACGACTTGCAGTAAGGTAGAGTAGAGATCCAACTATTCCTCTGTAGAGAGTTTGATCAACATCCTTTCCATCTACATCCATATCAAGCTTGGTGGATGTACTCATGGGGACAGAAACGGATGACTTCTGATCAACTTTGAATTTCTTGATAAGATCTCTTGTGTACTTGGCTTGGTTGATGAGAGTTCCTTCACTTCTCTGTTTGATTTGAAGACCAAGGAAGTAGTTGAGTTCCCCCATCATGCTCACCTCAAATTTTCCTTGCATGAGGGTGGAGAACTTGGTGCAAAGAGCTTCCTTAGTTGAGCCAAATATGATATCGTCCACATAGATTTGGACCAATAAAAGATCTTCTCCATCTTGAAGTTTGAACAAGGTCTTGTCAATGACTCCTTTGATGAATCCATTGTCTCTAAGGAATTGAGACAATGTATCATACCAAGCTCTAGGTGTAACGCCCCAAAATATACCCTAGAATTATTAATAAATAAATAATCAATTAATCAAAATTGTTTTGATTAAAAATAAATGTTTGTTGGGCTTTGGGCCAAAATGAAATATGTTAAAATATTCAATATTACAATCTGGATAAATCTTATAGAGATAAATCCAATATATTGAGTTGTTGACTTATTGTGTGATCTTGATTGGGAACCTGAGTAGAGACCCAAATTAAGAATAAATGAAGAAATTGTTTATAATGTGAACTTTGAAATGATTTATTGAAATAAATCATGGAAATAAATAATATGAATCAAATGTGAAAACCTTTTTGAATAAAGGTCAATTAAACCAATTTTGACTCTGTGAAAGTCAACCACCCAAAAATATGATGTCGGAAAAAGTATAACGAATAAATATAAAAATTATATCATTAGATAGAGTTTAATTGCACGATCGCAATGGTGCAAACGGATTTCAATTCGGAGAAAGTTGGACAAAAAAGAGTACCCCGACTGGGACCGAAATTAGTCCCAATCAGGGAAGAATCATGTAAATATCCGATCGGCGCAGCCTCCTCCACTACGCGACTTTCATACGCAGAAATGAGTCAGCTAGTGTCCTCTTCCCCTTCTCTTCTTCTATATAAGGATACTCCATCCTTACCAATTCTGCACCAATCTTCTGGAAAATTATACCATTGTGTTCATAAGAGTGAAGGGAGCAGTCTGGTGTTGTTAGTTCCCGCCGGAGTCGCCGGAGTGGGGAGTAAGCATCGCTGGAAGTTTCGCCGGAAAATCGTCAAAACCTTCAATAAGCTTTAAGGTAAGCCCGTTGATATATCTAATGACTAGATTGTTCGTATAGATCATTTCTACATTCATAAATGGTCATTTGGTTGAGTTTTGTGTTTGACATGTTTGAAAAACTAGGAATCATAAACCTTGAATTTGATGTTAAAACTATGAATTAATGATACCAAAATGATCTATGAACCTTGGAGAAAAGAGAATATTTGATAGAATATTTGGAGATATTTGTGTATATATTGTTGTGGTAATTTTCCTTGTATAGGGATTCTTTCCTTTTCTTTTTCCTTTACTAATTAGGAGTCTCAATTTGTGAGATCCTATATATAGGTCATCATTGTAAATTGTAAACACGAGAGAGAAATACAGAGAATTTCCTCCTAAATAATTCTTTCATGGTATCAGAGCCAAAACCCTAGAAATATTCTGCGACTACTGTTCACGATCGCCCGGCATGGCGTCCATCGATCGTTGCTCAGTTTTAGTCGGTTGTTGCTGTTGCCGGATAACGGAACGGTCGACCGTTGCTCTAGAATGGTCGAGCACGTCGACCGTCCCGTCGGCAGACTGTTTGATTGATGCTGCTGTTGATTCTTCCGCCAACTTCGTACGCCACTCTGCTATCGCCATGGCTGATGAACAACCAAGGAAGATGTTTTTCTCCCTGTCATTGTGTGTTTCTAGTATGAAGCTTTCAGGTATTTCTGTATCACCGCGTTGGATTATAGATACTGGGGCATCAAATCATATGACTTGTGATATTTCGTTATTGCATGATGTTGTGGGAATATCACCGTGTGAGATTGGTTTGCCCAATGGGAAAAGAATTGTCTCTGTACAATCTGGGAAGATTAAATTGACAGAAACATTAATTCTGCATGATGTTTTATATGTTCCCACTTTGAGTTTCCATTTAATCTCTGTGTCACAATTGACAAGGGATTCGAATTGTGAGGCACGTTTTGCCAACGATAAGTGTATACTACAAGATCTGTGTTTAAAGACAGAAATTGGTATGGGTGAGCAGGAAGGAGGACTTTATTACTTCAAAGAGCCTGAAAGGAAGATGGTGTGCAGTGGGAAGAAGGAGAGCAAGTTTGATCATTGGCACAAACGACTTGGACATCCTTCCTCTCATGTTTTGTCTCTTGTTCCTGGAGTTGGAACAAGTAAGAGTATTCACAATTGTTGTGACATTTGTTTACGTGCTAAACAGACTCGTGGGAGTTTTCCTATAAGTTTTTATCAATCTGTTGATAAATTTGATATGATACACTGTGATTTGTGGGGACCGTATAGGACTCCAAGTTTTGATGGTTCTACAATGTTCTTGACCATTGTGGATGATTTCTTGAGAGAGGTGTTTGGGTACATTTGCTTGATTCCAAACGTAAGGTTGACACTGTTTTTAAACAATTCTGTGCTATGGTAGAACGACAATTTGGGAAGAAAATAAAGTGTGTTCGCAGTGATAATGGCACAGAATTTGAATGTCTGAACGAATATTTCCAGGAACAAGGAATTATTCATGAGACGTCTTGTGTGTCTACTCCACAACAGAATGGGAGTGTAGAACGCAAGCACCGACACATTTTGAATGTGGGTCGGGCTTTGAGGTTTTAGTCTGGTCTTCCGATTGAGTTCTAGGGAGAGTGTATACAGACCGCCGCACATCTGGTCAATCGCACACCTTCGTATTTGCTAGGGGGGTCACACCATACGAGAAGATCTATGAAAAGCCGCCCTCTTTGACTCATATTCGTGTTTTTGGTTGCAGATGTTATGCTCATAACTTGAAGAGGAATGGAGATAAATTCGCATCAAGAAGCAATCCTGGAATATTTGTTGGATATCCACAAGGGAAGAAGGGATGGCGTATTTACTACCCGGACACTGGGGAAATTATGGTGTCCCGGGATGTTGTGTTCTGTGAAGATATTTTTCCTTTCTTGACTCCTACAGGTGCATCTCTCGATACAGAAAGTGCAAATGAGGTTAGCTCTTATGATGATGATGAAGAAACATGGACGGAAGAACAGATGGACCGTTCCAGGAGGGACGGTGGACCAGAGGGAAGCGGTAGAGGAGACAGGCTACAGACGGTCGACTTGATGGACCGTTCGGATGTCCACGGTTGACTGTCCGAGAGGCAGAATGACGGGTTCCTGAGAGATGACCAAACGGTCGACCTGGTGGACCGTTCTAATATCCACGGTCGATCGTCCGCGAGGCAGAATGACGTTTCTTTAGGAGATGATGAAACGGTCGACCGTGATGTGGAAGACGATCGACCGTCTCCGAGGCAGAAAGTTAGCGATCCGTAACAGGTTCAGACGGTCGACCCCGTGGACCGTTCCACGGACAGCGGTCGACTGTCCCCTTCCCAGCAGGCGGTGGAGAACTTGGGACGTGGTCAGCGTGAGAAACGTCCAAATGCAAATATCCTCTTGCCTCGTATGTCACACACGAGAAGTTCTCTGACAGACACAAGTGTTTTCTTAGTGCACTTGATGCTGGAGTGGAGCCCACAGGTTTCAAGAAGGCATTCCACGATGAACGATGGAGGAAGGCTATGAGAGAGGAGATTGATGCACTGGAGGCTAATGGGACGTGGTCTCTTGTCTCTCCTCCACGCCATAAAAATCCCCTTGGTTGCAAATGGGTATATAAGATCAAGCGCAAGTCTGATGGAAGCGTGGAGAGATATAAGGCCAGACTTGTTATACTTGGCAATCATCAGGTTGAAAGACTTGACTACAAAGAAAATTTGCTCCTGTAGTCAAGTTGACCACTGTGAGAACGCTTTTAGCAATTGCAGCAATTAAGGGGTGGGAATTGCATCAGATGGATGTTCACAATGCATTTCTACACGGAGATCTTCAGGATGAGGTGTATATGAGATTGCCACCTGGCTTCTCGAATTCGTCTAATGTGGTGTGCAAACTCAAGAAGTCTCTGTATGGCTTAAAGCAAGCTCCAAGGTGTTGGTTTGCCAAGTTTTCTGGAGCCTTGAAACACTATGGGTTTGTCCAATCTGTTGCTGATTACTCCTTATTTTCTTTTATTGGAAAGAAAGGAGTCATACACATTTTGGTTTATGTTAACGATTTGATTATTGCTGGAGATAATACAAAGATGGTAGGCAAGTTCAAAGCCTATCTCGGAGATTGTTTTCCTATGAAGGACTTGGGAACACTAAAATACTTTCTTTGCATTGAGTTGGCGAGGAGCACGTCTGGGATTTTTCTTTGCCAACGAAAGTACGCCTTAGATATCATCACTAAGGCAGGGTTGTTAGGTGCCAGGCCATTGGGTGCCCCGATGGAGCCAAATCATCACTTGGCTCATTCCCAAGCCCCGGTTCTTGCAGATCCAGAACCATATCGATGGTTGGTAGGAAGGTTGGTCTATCTCTCCGTTACACGACCGGAACTTTCTTACGCCGTCCACACTTTAGCACAGTTTTTGAAGGAACCAAGGGAGGATCAGTGGTCTGTGGCCCTTAGAGTTGTTCGTTATTTGATAGGATGTCAGGGTCAGGGAATTTTTCTGTCAGCAGAGAGTAGTCTTCAACTCACAAGATGGTGTGATTCGGACTGGGTAGCATGTCCTTTGACGAGGCAGTCATTGACAGGGTGGTTTGTGCAGCTTGGAGACTTGCCTGTCTCATGGAAAACAAAGAAGCAGTTGACAGTGGCTCGCTCGTCTGCTGAAGCAGAGTATAGAGCTTTGGCTGTCCTTACATGTGAGTTGAAGTGGTTGAAGAATGTATGCTTAGGAGTTGAGCATAAGAACCCCATGACGGTCCGGTGTGACAGCACGACAGCTCTTCACATTGCTGCTAATCTTGTTTTCCACGAACGCACGAAGCACATTGAGATTGATTGTCACTTCGTTCGTGATGAGCTCTTGCAAGGAGAGATTCGTACACTTCATGTGCCTACTACGCATCAGCTTGCAGACATTCATACAAAGGCACTCGGAAAGTCACGTTTGGAGTTTCTTCTTCCCAAGTTGGGCATTTCGTTACTACATGCTCCAACTTGAGGGGGGTGTTAAAGGAAAGAGAATATTTGGTAGAATATTTGGAGATTTTTGTGTATATATTGTTTTGGTAATTTTCCTTGTATAGGGATTCTTTCCTTTTCTTTTTCCTTTACTAATTAGGAGTCTCAATTTGTGAGATCCTATATATAGGTCATCATTGTAAATTGTAAACACGAGAGAGAAATACAGAGAATTTCCTCCTAAATAATTCTTTCAGATATTCACGAAGCTTGAACTGAGGTTGAAGACGAAGTACTGTTCCTGATTCGAATGCAGCACGCAGTAGCGGTAATGCACTACCGTGCGACGGAAATGCACTGCCGTGCGACGGTAATGCACTACCGTGAGACGGTAGGATTTTACCGCCACAGGCCATTTTAACCTGTCCAAAATCTTCATGTTCGGAAATTAACTCCAAAAAAATGCTATCATGATATTTTTCCACTCCAAGACAGAAATAAAACCATTTTTAAAGTAAATATAATATTTTGATTAATCCTAATATGTTATGTGATGCATGACGGTAAGTTCGGGTGTTAACACTCAAGACTAGGCCGCTAATTGTTACTGAATATTATGTTGATTGATGATTATGGTAATGATTATTGATTGATGATTATGATGATTAAATCTTGATAAATGTTCTAATTAAAAATGGAAATTATGAATGATTAAATCATAATGAATATATTGATGTTTGTGAAAATAATATGTATTGTCAAGGGTATCTAGAAGACCTCTAAGATATACCCATATTAATGTTGATTTGAAAGGTATCTAGAAGAACTCTAAGATATACCTATATAAGTTAGGCCTTGCGGGTATGATGCCCGGTGGCTAGGGTTAAAACGTACGTACGGGATCCAAGAACCAAACTTGAGTACCTACTCGTTTGGGGGTACCACCCACCCNTTGTGAAAATAATATGTATTGTCAAGGGTATCTAGAAGACCTCTAAGATATACCCATATTAATGTTGATTTGAAAGGTATCTAGAAGAACTCTAAGATATACCTATATAAGTTAGGCCTTGCGGGTATGATGCCCGGTGGCTAGGGTTAAAACGTACGTACGGGATCCAAGAACCAAACTTGAGTACCTACTTGTTTGGGGGTACCACCCACCCAACAGTGAACACTACGCTGTCGGTTTTTGGTTGGCCTTAAGTGAAGGTAAGTTTAAGATTTCCAAAACCCTTTTATCTTAAACTAGGCCTAGCTTAAGGATTATTAGGAGTACTCTGTATACTGAAATATAGTTTAATTAGTTAAACTAGAATTCATTTAAGGGTTGACAAATATTAAAGTGATTGGCCTTAAACTAAGAATAGTTTAAGGATATTGTTGAATGACAAATAATGAATATACATGTTGAATGATTGAATAATGAATGTTGAAAATTTAATATTGATTATTGAATATCTGAACTGAACATTATGTGCATGATATCAAATGGTTGATTATGAATTGAGATTCCATTTATGTGGATGTTCGACGCATTAGATATGCTTACTCAGCTTTACCGTTGAGCGTGTAGTGTGTTTTATTTGCTACACGCAGGTCAATAGAATGATGTGACCTAATCCTGGAGGCAGAAAGAGGCGAGATAGTCAGAATGGATGTGATGGTTTTGAATTAAAGAATATAAATAAATTATGTTTGTGGTTATGATTTGTTAAGCTTCCGCGATATTGAAAACTCTGTACTGTTTATGATATGAAAAATATTATTATGATAAATAAGTGTTTGAAAAGTTTTAAATTTTACGATTACCAAGTTAATACTTTAGTCCGAAAGGGGCTGCAGACCTGGACGGATTAGGGTGTTACACTAGGTGCTTGTTTGAGTCCATATAGCGCCTTTTTGAGTCTGTACACTTGATCGCCTTTAGTGTATAACTCAAATCTTGGAGGTTGTTCCACATAAACTTCTTCCTCTAGGTTTCCGTTAAGAAATGCGCTTTTGACATCCATTTGATAGACTTTGAAGTCCTTATGAGCAGCAAAGGCTAGAAACAGCCTTATAGCTTCAAGTCTAGCAACTGGAGCGAAGGTTTCATCAAAATCTATACCTTCTTCTTGACAATAACCTTTGGCAACCAACCAGGATTTGTTTCTGACAACAACGCCATTTTCATCCATCTTGTTCCGGAAGACCCACTTTGTCCCAATGACATGTTGATGAGTAGGTCAAGGAACAAGTTTCCAGACGTCATTTCTGGTGAATTGGTTGAGTTCTTCTTGCATTGCATTGATAAAGTCAAAATCAGCTAGAGCTTCTTCAATGCTTTTTGGTTCCACTTGTGCAATTAAACAAGCAAGCATGGCTTCTAGATTCAATTGAGCACTCCTTGTGCGAACGCCTGATTGAATATCTCCAATAACTTTTTGAGGAGGATGATCCCTTAACCAAAAAAGATTGTGTTGATTAGGGTTGACTGGTTGATCTAGTTCAGCTTCTGGTTGAAGAACAGAGTTTATTGGTGATTCCGGATGGATTGGCACTGGGTCGCCACTTCCGGAATTGTCGCCATTTGAGTGATCCGGTATATTGGAAGGCTGGCCATGATTTCCAGTAGGCTCAGCACCGTCTGAATCCGGATTTCTTTGTGAAGTCTTCAGTGGTAGACTTCCTAATAGAATGAACTCCGTAGGCTTCAGTCTATCTCCTTCATTGATTTCTTCATCCTTGTTTGAGAGATCCAGAACCTCATGTTAGGTTCTTTTGTAGTCTTTAAATTCCCTTACATTTACTAATCTTTGGGTCACCATTAGTGAGAATTTGGTTTAATTTAAGATCAAGAAAGAACGTTGACCATCCTAGAGGTTAGAGTGCAATTCTTGTGTTATTTTAGGTCCAATGGGTTAATTGTTAGAATCGGGCTAAACGACCCAAGGTGAAAATAACCAACCCGGCCCATTAGTTGAGTACAAAACTTAGTTACGTGAGAGGGAGAGATCAGTTACGCGAGAGGAGAAAGGAACGAGAGAGAGGGAAGGTGAGATCGAAGAGTTAACCGGGGGAGAAATTCGGCGACCAGGCATAATCCGGCGAGCTAGACCTCGCGATCATCATCATTCATCGCACAATCACCAAGCGCTCCTCCCGATCAAGCGCTGTGACCGAACAGAGGAGTCATCACGTTCGTAGGATTTGATCCTCGAACGCTGTCCATAGGTACTGCGTTGTTTTTATTTCCA